AAAGTCCTTGCATGTTATCATATATTAGACATATGAAGTCTCTCTACACGAGGGCGTCTTCTAAGCCAATAAATAATAAACTTGATACTCCTCGTAAATTAAGTGACAAAATCAGTAATTCACTGCCATGGCATTGTAGCTCATTTGTAAGCCTAGCTACTGCGGCCCTGCTCTCTTTTCTTTTAACTCGTCTGAATAATACATGAAAACTTTCTTTGACCCATGACCATGGCCCCGTGCTGTAAAACAGCGTGATCTGTCAGCGTGTTTTAATTAGAAAACGCTGGCACACCAGCACACAGCAGCCTTTCAGAACCGAGCCTTTCATATAACGGGCTCATCAATTATTCCTGAATGGCTTTCTATTGTCTGTTCTTTTCAGGTTGTCTCAGTTAAAGCTCTGAGTATCTTTGGCTCCTTTTGCTTTGTTGCGCTATAGGCAGTGGGGGGCACCACCGAGTGGTCTATCTTGGAAGTAGTTATCTACTTCCTAGCATGCTAAGGAAATTTTAAAATCGTTGGGTATGCTGAAGAGTTTGTATAATTGGAAAAATGACTTCTCTTCCACAAATCACATTTGTAAGCACGGCAATACTAAAGTTAAAGCATTTAACTTGGACAGCTCTTTATCCTATTCTTGACTGGAAAACGTCTATAACTTACATGAATCACGCTTGGAGACAATTAACGTGAGAAAAATCGGATGAGCCCTTATCAGTCAAGTTGGGTAGAAATGAAAGTTTGATTGCTACTGTAGAGGTGATATCTGCAAAATAAAAGTTTCTTCAAATGAAAGGTAGACCACATTTGGAAAAGTATATAAAATAAAAGCCCATAAACATATGTATTTGTCTTCTACTGAGATCTACTCCCCCTAACTCATGTTGTATATATCTTTTACAAACAAATTGCAATGGACCAGGACTAACCATAAATTTTAAAAGCATAATATGCTTTCAGATCCCTTGGTGCCATTTCACTCAGTACAGAGAACATGTCCAGGAAGTCATCTAGGGTCATATTTCCCTCTCCGTCTTCAGAGAAAACCTCAGCTATTCTCTGGCGGAAAGGGTTGTCCTGCAATTTGCAAAAAAGACATCTGTTTAATTAACTACCACCCTGAATCACTCACAACCATCTGAAGTACTGCACATCCTTTTTTAATGACCAGTCCTGTAGAGAAATGTATTGATTAGTTTTGTTTGCTTTTACCAGAACAACAGAGACAAAGCATACCTCCCATGCTCACCTGCACACAACTTATCTATTACAGGTTCTACCAAAAATGTATTTAGCAAACTATTGGTCTAATATTTTTGCAAACGTTTCTCTATCTGCAAAGGGATTTTGGCAGACGATTAAGGGTGTATTTGCTCACTAATAATGCTGATCTTTTCCACGGTGCAAATGCCCACAAGAGCAGCCCTGTACTGTGTGTGAAGTGCCAGACAATAGCTGCTATTGCCAGGAGCACAAGCTGTGCAATATAACTTTCTTCAGGTGTACAGGGATCAAGTTACTCATAACCTCTCCAAGGCTCCTGTCAATTAGTAGGCGATGAATAATTGATTGTGTCCCCAGGAGCATGGCATGGACATCCTTCACCAGCACAATCGGTGGGCGTACCTTCAACTCTGGCATGCTGCCAATCAGCTCGTATGGTATCTTGACATCTGGGTTGCTGGTGTAGTCGAGTGGAACAAGCTGTGGTGCCAGGTCCCGGTAGCGATGAAACAGCCTAGAGACATTAGTACATGACACAAGGATACATCATAATCATAATATCCTTAGACTTACATAGTGCCTGTCTAGACACTCCACTCAAAGCACCTTACAGGTAATGGGGAGTCCCCTCCATCACCCCCAGTGTGTAGCCCCCACCTGGATGATGTGATGGCAGCCAAAGTGCGCCAGTACTCTCAACACCCATCAGCTCTCAGTGGGGAGGAGAGCAGAGTGATGAAGCCAGTTCAGAAATGGGGATTATTAGGAGGCCATGATTGCTAAGGGCCAGGGGGAAATTTGGGCAGGACACCATTTAGTCTAAACTAAATGGACTACACAAGCACTATATTTAGAAGAACGGCTTGGAAGCCATTCAGTTCTGTTCAGGATTTAGGACGACAATCAAAATCCATTTAATTCTGCAAATGTCATTGAACATCAAACCCAGAGAACTGAATTTTTACTGATGAGCTAAATCAACTTTGTGCAAAGGATTCTAATGTAAAAGAAATTAATTTAAAATAATGTTCTGCATGCAGGTCAATGGTTCAACCTAATGTCTTTAGCTCCTGAATTGACAGACAGACTATATTTCATTGTCTTTCTTTTACTGAAAGGTAAATATAAACTATGTTCAAATAAAATTTGTCCTTGTGGTTGTTTTGAACAAAGATTTTGAAAGAGTTTATTTTTTTCTCTCAATGAAATTGCAAAATGTTTTTTTCTGTATTTTGTTCTCTTAACAGAAATGCCTCACAACTCCACTGTGTCACATTCCACACGAACAAAAAGGATTTACTTCATTAACCTTGTTTATTATCAAAGGTGAGCCATTTTTCTTACCTCAGGATTTCTTTTCTGGTGAAAAATGTACAGTCCTAGAAAAACAACAAAGATAAAAACTATTTAAACTATAGAGAATGCTTGTCTGTTCAGCATATTGGCATAACTTCACTTATGTGATACGCATGCTTCATGTATGTGACATTAGCATTTTTTATTACATCTCCATTATAAGGCAAAACCACAATACAAGACACTTGAAGACTCAACGGATGAAAAGTTGTTTATTTCTTATTACCTTTCTACATAATAACATAAAAACAGTTACTTACAGAACGCTATTCAAGAACATTTAATTAACAGTTAATTTATATCATCCTGCCATTCCTTGAAATAAGCCAGAATTTCCCGAATAATGTTGTTCTGAAGAACTCTGCTGGGTTATCTTTGTCAGAATTTTGAATACTTGTATCAGGTCACCTCATACTCTTCTCTGTTTAAGACTAAAGAGGTTCAGTTCTTTCAGCTTGTCAGTGTACAACATCTCCTTAAGACCCAAAATGTATCTAGTTGCTCTTCTCTGGACTGATACCAAACCAGCTCATCAGTAAATAATGCTGGATGAATATGTACCAGCAGCCTTTCGGCACAGTCATGCTGCAGAGCTAACAGAGGAAGAAATTAATCATATTTCCTCTTCAGCAACCCCCTTTGTTAATGGAACAAAGACCCTGCCATAATCCGGCCTTGCTTGACACTGGCGCTAACCCTTCGGACTGTGGTGAACAAGAATGGCCATTTACTTCGAATGAGCAGTCAATTCTTTAACCGAGGCTGCAAACTTTCCTTTCAAACCACTGGCATTTACAAATGGAGGGATTGCTGGCTAGAACATACAGCTTTGTAATTTAGAAATGAGGACTGCTACTCCACACTCCACACATCCCTTGCTAATACAAGCAGGTCCATTCAAAAGTGAAAGGCGCAGTGCACAGAAATAATCAATCCCAGAAAGACAGGTGTCATCCTTACTGCTTGTTTTTAAACTTATATGAAATGCTCAGCCTTCACAACCCAGTTAGAAAAAGATCCAATGCAATTGTCTTGCATCTGGGTGGAGCGGGTTGCTATACTTTGCTGATAGTAATAACTGTTGGCACAAAACAGATATTTACAGTGGTTTCAGAAAGTGCTCACTCACGATGAGTAAAAATCCTAGTGCAGACTTACTTGAAAGATTCACACCGTAGAACATTGTGTCTTTGAAAGTGGGTTCAGAGGTAAAGTGTACAGAAAGAGAAGCTGCTCCAATCTGCAAAGTGCAGCCCTGAATAAGAATAATCATGAGAGTTCAAAGAACATCCCGCTGAGAGACAATAAATTAGAACCAACCTGATAGGCATCTAGCTGCTGTGTTGTAAAGATGGTCTGTTTGTTCCCCATCCTTGTGCAAACTCCCCGTGCCTCAGTGCCATTGCAGTGTTCCACCCAACAGCCTTTTATAAGACCTCTGGATATTTCAGATATGAAAATACTGGAACAAAAGGAGCCCTGAAACAGTGGGAGATCAGGTATCCTTTGCCACGCGCCCCTTTAGTTCACCATCATAATAGGAGCATTTCATCGATTTCTCTGATCTGAATAGAAGCCCCTTTAAAATGAACTAGGGCTGGCGTCCAGCATGATTCAGACTCATATCAACGCCAAGTGCTCCCCAGCGTGATGTTCCTACCTCGCACTCACCCCTGTCTCACGTTACAGCCTCTAAATGGTCTTTACAGACAGTGCATCAGGTCTCGTCAACCTGGCGTGCTGACGTTTGTCCACAACAGCAAGCAGTACTTGTATACTTGTATCGTGTTTGTGTCATGTTGTGTCCATCCCAGATGTACAGATGTCATTTAACTAACTCTAGTGCTGTTTAAGAGCTGTGCGCTGTCCCTGTTCAATAAACTGGGTGACATCCTTAGGGTGCGTGATGGGCCAGAGGGCAGGTTTTTTTAATGTACCTTGTACAAATAAAAAGAAAAAGAGACCCAGAAGGAAGGGATTTAAAAGGTCTGCAGCTGAATAACATCAGAATTACTTTGAATGCATAAGAAAAATAAACGTGCTTCTTAACAAAACTTGACGAATACATTAATTCCTTGTACCGTTTGAACACTAAACGTTTATTTGTGCAATTTTGTAACTTCAAACTCCAAATAAACATGAGGAGGGATCTTCCAGAATTGTGAAATTGAGCAAAGATTTTTTAATACATTGGCGTCCTTTAAAATTGCAAGGACATTTCCATTAATATAAACAATACTGCAGTTTAAATTCCAGTTAAATCAACAGCACTTTACTGTGAAGTTTCACGGTAGTGCTTAGTTTTTTATTAAGAGTCTGTATAAATCGGGACGATCGACTTAATTTCCAACACCAACAGTAGGGAGCATTACCTCATCTTTATACGCCCAACCTGGAGCCGAGTCATGAATTATTCACAAAGTCTGCTCATGAATAAGGAAAGTGGTGCTTTAATTGTATTTATCCCTTGTTCGGCTGAGGGCTGTGCCTTTTTTACGGAGTGAGGCGATTTTTATTGTATTTGGTTTACAATGTCTTTTATTCCAGGACAGCCAGTTACAGCGGTAGTGGTAAGTTTCTCTAACAAGAAAACTTTCTTTTGCTTTTCCGTGCATCATCCATAGCGGCTATGGAGCTATTTGAAGGGAATATTTTGTAGGCCTTACAAAGCCTCGGTCTTGCGTATCAAGTTGAAGCCACGGGGGGAAACGCAGAAATCCCTTTGTAGAGCTGTTACGTTGGGGTGCGAGTACGAAAAAACTTTAAATGTATTGTTGCATGACTAAAGTAATCTACTTTTAACATAAAAAATAACATCCATGGTTTTTACGCGCACGAGTTGTAAAAACTAACATTGGTGTAAATGACTAGTTCAATGCAAACTTGAATGAGAAATTTTATTTTTTGTAAAAGAAAGTGAGTTTTTGTCGTCGTAATTTTATTCACATCATTAGTAGTATGTGTTTGATGCGTTATTGATTTTTACTTAGTAGAACATTTCTGAAAAAAAATTCTGTCTCCTTTGCTTCGGCTCTTTTTGAGAAATCACGGTTCCTTTAAATTTTAAAGGGTACCATCCGCACCCGTGTACTACTACATACATACGGATAACCTGCACTGTATTCTGTATGAAAAGTTTGTGAATTTGAAAGAATTAAAACTTTTATAGAATGCAAAACCTATACAATACAATTATAAATTAATAATACAATTAAGGCTATTTGCTTTGTGGTTATAACAGATGTGCATTCGTTTTAAGTAACTGATCCGATTTTTTTCAACTACAACTACTTACGGTAAATGGTTTCCCCGCGTGTTTACGAAATGGGTGTATGAGTGAGTTTTTATCATAGTTTGCTCGTCAGGTTTCACGGAACTACAGTATCAAGAAATACATTTTTAATGGCGTGCGGCTGTTTTTACCCGTGTTAATTTGTTACACCTGTTTGAATGAAAAATCCTCATATAGAGATGAGTACTTGTAGGTTACAGACAATTCCCTATTCGTTTTAATCGTCTTTTCACCAGATGTGGAAAAGACTTACAGACAGTATAGCAATTGTAGCAGAAAATGTATTTTTTTCCCACTGCTGAGTGCATGTTAACTGTTAACCAACAATTCAGTGAATTATTCTATATATATAATTCTATATATTGCTCAAAAAACATTTGACCGCCTAACAATTTGTTAGTTGTTACTGACACACCTGTCGGCAAAGAGGTGCTCTGAGAAATTCCTCGATGTATTAATTTAGCAGCAATTCTGGTCAGTGTATTTCACGAACTTCAATGAAGAACTGTAACAGCAACATCTGTATCAATTACCTTTTTCGTATTATTCATTCAACATATGTCCAGCTGTTTCATCAAAATGAACGTATGACACTGTTAGCACAAACTGTACTGTGGATTAAACCGTGTTTGCTTACTCGTTATTAAAGAGACCAATCGTAAAAAACACCCTTATAATGTGAAGGGGAGACCACTTTGTACACACACAGACACACAGTAACTAAGTGGAGAGTTAAGAAAGCATTTTCTAGCTTTTCTCATCTAAACAAATTGACTGATAAGGAGAAACTGACAAATTTGTTTCAATTCAAGGTTCCAGCTTTGGGTTTTTAAATATTGAAGGAATGAAGAACCAAGAGCACTGTAGGTGCTGTAGAAGGCTTTATGTATGGTATTTTTTATAGTAAGATCTAAGAAGCCTTGAACCTCGTGTCACCTTGGCAACACACTATTTAAACAACAGTATTGCTAATACACGGAGAGATTCATCCTGTTCACCATGTCAGTACACGAGCTGGCAAACTGCTGGGGTGTGTGACTGACGCCACAGGACATGCTGTTATCCAGGGTCAGTGGGGGCAGATATTACATACGGATGTTGTTTGTATTAGCACGTGCTCACACGATGAAACATGCGATTTTTAGTAAATATTAGAGGAGAAAAGGCATGCAGAATAGAAAAGATATAGGAAGACCTCTTCATATTCTGTGCTTTTGCTGTGTGAGTTACAAGTGAGCACCCCGAGGTCCTTACAAAGAATCTGAATTTAAGTTTTTCAAACTGAGATCCATCCTTCCATTTTCTCATCCATTTAAGATGAACATGGTTGTAGGGAGAGCTGGAAGTTACCCTGGCAAGCAACAGGCACAAGGTGAGATACTGTTCACCTGGATGGCTCCATTTCAGGGCACACACACTCAGAGCAGGGCCAATTTTACAGAAGCCAGTAGACCTACTGTACCAGTATGTCTTTGGACTGTGGGAGGAAACCGGAGCACAAAGTGGAAACCCATGCAAGAACATGTGTTATAAACTCCATGTAGTTAGTACCCCCAGGAATTGAATCCGGGTCCCCAGCGGTTAGCATTGTGAGGTAGCAAACCTAACCATTGTACCACTGTGCTGTCCTCAAACTGAGATATTGAAATTATTTTTTTTTTCATCCACAATCTGGGACACTGTAGTGTTTGAAGCTGTTATTATTTTTATAAGCTTCCTCACATGCATTTATATTGATTTAATTAAAAGGAGTATTTTATAACAATAGAATCTTAAGAGTAACTTCCTGGAAAAGTATTTTAGCTTTGATTGCAAGTACAATAACATATTAAAGAAAGCCAGATGTGAGTGCTAACATTCCAGGTCACACTTAGAAGAAAGAACTTTCATGTTTCCACATCCCAGTCTGATTAGTAAATACAGATATTACACTTTCTGCTGCAGTGCATTGACTGGGTTCCCTCTGAACATGCAGTGAAGTTGACTTCAGACCATCGTAATATGATGAGGGTACTCATGTGTTTTATTGTGTTTCCCAGTTTTCATATGTATTCAGACAACTTTTAAAATGCTGAAAATGCAACTAACAAGTCTGCAAAGTGTTCAGTTCTATCAAGAACCTTGAATTAGATTACTTGATGTATTAAGATAGTGTTAGCTTTCATAGGACTTGAAAATAAGACTTTTGGGTAGATTTGCCATAGGACATGCTGCATGGTATTTCTTTATATTAATGAAGATGCCAGGACATTGCAAAACATTCTCAACAGGATAAGCTAATGATGGCATTCTTTAAATAGCCAATAGCCTCACTGCAGATTGCCGAGTCCTTGATATTACACATAAGGAGAGGAATGTGAGATAACTGATAAGAAGTTAAATTAACACGTCATAGTCCCAGAACTGGTTTTAGTGCCCTTGTATAGATTATTTAAATATTGCATAGGAGTGAAAAAAGCATTTTCAATATTTAGTTAATCCGCTTTTTGTGAATTGATGTTTCTGAGTTTATCCACAGAGATAGATACAGACTCATCATTCCATTAGATGCTAACATAACTAGTGTGAAGATTGTCAAGTTATGTGATGATATATGGTATTTCAGTAAAGAGTTTTATTTCTTCTCAGTCAGAACAATACATTTTAACAACAGTTAATATAAAAACAAAGAATAGAGCCCAGCTCTTCTAGTCTCTGGCTCAATCTTTTTCTACTGTCCTTATAACTGTCAGCCACACAGCATCTGCTTCTTGCATTATTTTGCTATTAAAAGAGCTTTGTTCGTCACATCGAGCAAACAAACAAAGCACATTACGGATTTTAATCCTAAACTAGTGTGAAGAGTCTAGTAGCTCTCAGCTTGTCAAAAAGTCTCAAACTACTTGAACTACCCGCCTGTCCGAGGTTATCTAAGGGGTTGATGAGTTACAGATAAAGACAACTGAAGAAGTTCTTCT